CTCGGGTGAGTCCAGAGGAGGAGACCTATTGGATGGACGATGTGCTGCGGGTGGTGACAGATCCCTGAATGGTGTCTTCTGAAGCTCCCTATTTCACTTGTCGATAGAGATGCATAATGAGATCAGTCCGTCCAGGGTTGATGGCTCGGGGCAAAGAGCCAGCTGATTCTTTACCCGATCGTTCAGAGCTTCGATGAATGCTGCTTTAAGGGCATCGTCTCCCCATGATGTCATTGCAGCCAAGGTCCTAAACTCCAGAGACATGTCAGCCACTGACCTTCTTCCCTGCGAGAGGTGCAACAGTCTTTTTCTGATGTCAGTGGTGGTCTCGGAACTGCAAAAAGTCAGTTTAAAATCCTCCAGAAAGTCTGGGTAAGAACCAGACAGGAAATTAGGATTTCTACTCTTAGCCTCCACCCACCGAAGTGCCTTGCCTCTAAGAAGTCCAACAATAAATGAGATCTTCATTGAGTCAGTAGGAAAAGACCTCGGGGAGTCTTCAAACGCTAGACGGCACTGTAGCAGAAACCCAAAGCAATCCTCGAATTCACCGGAGAAGGTCGGGCATTGTCGAGGAGGAGCCGAACGGAAGTGGGTGATTTCCGGAGAGCCGAGCGCCTCCGGTCCAGGTGAAACCACACCTCCCGAGACGTGTGCGTGTGGTTCTGTTCCGAACGCCGGAGCGGCGGCTGTCGCTGGAACGGGGACGGAACCCGAGGCTGTAGAGGAGAGCTGTTCCTGAAGCTGCTGCAGGACGGTCTCCAAACGTTGATAACGTTGGTTGGTGATATTCAGCTGCTCCATGAGGACGGGAAGTGTCTGCTCTTGTTGGGACATCCGGGTAGCCAGATCCGCGAGTGCTGATTCCGCTGGATTAGATGCGTGGCCGGATGATTCTGTCATGGCTCGAGGTAAGTGTCTAACCCAAGACATGCAGAATCAACACACGTAGTCCAAAGCAGTAAAGTAAAATGTCTTTATTATAAAAACGGGAACTGAAACCGCACAGGGAAGTCCTGTGGGTTGAGCAATATGGCTCGAGTCTCTGAAGTGCTCAGGTTGATGAGATGATGAGGAAGCCAGGAAGGACATTGGGCAGAGGGTGAGAAGTCCAGGAGAGGCGAGGTAGCAGAGGGAAGCCAAATAGGAGCAGCGGAGGAGGATGGGATGTGATGTGTGTTATCCAGGGAATTAAGACAGCGAGGGTGAGGAGATGAGGAGAGGATCCTGCGTGGAACAAAAACCAGGCGTGAGGGATAATCCAAATCGTAATCCAAAAACACAATCCGAGGTCATAAATCCAATGGTCAAACACAAGTCAAAAACACGAACAAACTTGATCAAGGTCAAAGGCTGGTGCTACCTAAACTGGTGCAATCATCCGGCAAAGTGATGTCTCCATCCTCCTTTTGAACCCACGTCCCTGATTGGGAAATCTCCCGCAGCTGCCGCTCCCCCTGCTCCTCACCTGTGGAGAATTAGCTTAGAGTCTGGTGAGAGGAGAAGGTGTGACTCACCTCTGCCCAGGAACATGACACGCGGACAAGATTAAGGAAGAGCCTTCTTTTTTTTATAATTAAAGTTTTTATTATTTTCAAATCTTTTTATAGCATACAAAAACAAAAGAAAACACATAGGCTTGTGCACCCCCCCCCCCCCCCCCCCCCTTCTCTTCCAGGGTACCAACGACTCTTAAGAGTTGCGGTTTCAGCTATCACAGCTACATAGATCAGTAGCCATACTTAATTCAGGGTCAGTTAGGAATCCAAAACCAGGCAGTGAGGCATTAGATTTCAAAGTTTTTTGTAACATTTTTCAATGTTCCCCAAAAGCTGTTCCAGTCTGTGTCCTTGTCCCCTTTCAGGTTGCTGAGCATGGCCTCATAAGCAGCTGTTTCCGCCATCGCCGCAATCCATTCATCAGTCCCAGGGCGCACTTTAGTCTTCCAATGTCTTAATATAATCCTGGATGCTGTAACTAGTCTGACCGTAATGATGCGGAAGGTTCCTCTTGAAACATTTGGTATTTGGGATCTGTCTCCCATTAAGCATAGATCCGGGGTCTGAGGGACTTCTATGCCAGACCAAGCACCCAGGATTTCCAGGACATCAGTCCAAAAGGGTAAAACCATAGAGCATTCCCAAAAACAATGTAGATATGTCCCTATTTCACTGTTACATTTCCAACACAAATAACTTGGCATTAGTTTCATTCTATGTAACCTGGTAGGAGTATGGTAGTATCTATGCAACACCTTGTACTGTATAATTTACTTCTAGCCTCTTTCACATATTTACCACTGTCTGATAAGATATTTAGCCATTTTTCATTCGTGTATTCTGTTTCTAAGTCCCGCTGCCAAAGTAGTTTAATGCCTAAAGACTCCCCACTTAAACCATTATTAAACAATTTATAAAACACCGAAGCAGTGTGGCGATCATGTGGCATTTTAATATAACCTAAAATATCATTCTCAGGAACTTCCTTAAATTTAGAAGTCACACAATGTCTCATTTGGAGGTATTTCCAAAAATGTCCTTTACCTTGCAATTTGTAAGTACGGGTTAGATCCTCGTAAGACATAAAGTTTCCATCTTTATACAGATCTCCAATATTCCATATACCACGTGAGTGCCACTGTCCCCAAAACACCAGTACTTTACCAATACACATAGCAGGGTTGTTCCAAAGAGACGCATACTTCTGGACATAATGTGAAAGCTTCAACATTTTATGTACCTTTGACCAAACCTCACAAGAGTGAATAATAACCGGATTAGTTGTATTTATTTTTTGAGACAATTTGTGTTTTGGATCAAATGGTGAACAGATTTCAAATTCAATATTTAACCATTCTTGTTTTTCTTTATCTTCCTCCCAGTATTTAACTAATTTTGCCATCTCAAATGATAGGTAATAGAGCTTTGGGTCCAAAAGTCCCAATCCACCTTTCTCTCTGGGGGCATACAATTTCTCCATTTTTATTCTTGCTCTTTTACCCTCCCACAAGAAATGTTTAACCAAATTTTCATAACTTTTAAAAAAGTCCTGATGAATAGAAATAGGTAGCATCATGAGCATATAATTGAGCTGGGGTGCTATAATCGTTTTAATAATATTAATTTTGCCCCACAAAGTCAATTTTAATGCCTCCCACTTTTCAAATTTTGTTTTAACTTTTGACAACACTGGGTTCAAATTTAGTGAAGGCAGCAGTTCACCTAGCTCTTGGCATAATTTCATCCCCAAATATTTCATGCCTTTAGGTGTCCATTTAAATTTAAATTTCTCCACCATATGTGAATAGCACAGACCCGACAATGGCATAGCCTCAGACTTGGACCAATTAATTGTATATCCAGAAACTTTTGAGTAGGATTTTAGAGTGTCCATTAAATGTGGTAAAGATGTAAGTGGATTAGTTATCGTTGCTACAATATCGTCTGCATAAAGAAGTAATTTGTGTTCAACTTGGCCCGTTCTTATACCTTTAATATCACTATTTGACCTAATATTCACAGCTACCGTTTCTATAAATATAATGAATAATAGAGGACTGAGAGAACACCCCTGTCGGGTCCCACGTGACAACCCGAAAAAAGGTGAAATAATTCTGTTGGTTATAACTGCCGCCCTCGGCTCTTTATACAATATTTTAACCCAATTTATGAATTGTGACCCAAATCCAAAGTTTGATAAAACAGAAAAAAGAAAACCCCATTCAACTTTATCAAACGCCTTCTCTGCATCTAAGGAGAAGGCAGCTACAGGCTCATCTTTTGACTGACTCAACCACATTAAATGCAGCAGTTTCCTGACATTATCCGCTGAAGAACGGTTTTTCATAGATCCTGTCTGGTTCAGGTGTATGATATTAGGAAGGACTTGTTGTAAGCACAGGGCTAACACCTTAGTAAGTATCTTACAATCTGAGTTCAACAAACTAATTGGCCTGTAATTTGATGAATCTGTACTATCCCTGTCTTTTTTTGGAATCAAAGAAATCAGTGCTTCGTTAAATGTAGGGAGTTGGCCTCTTTCTAAAGATTCTTGGAATACTTTTTTTAAAACCGGGGAAAGAATGTCTATATACTCTTTATAATACTCGGCGGGAATGCCATCATAGCCTGGAGATTTCCCCCTTTTCATTAGTGAAATCGCTTTTCTAATTTCTCCTTCTGTTATTGGACCCTCTAACAACTCTGCCTGTTCCTGAAGCAATCTAGGTAGACTCAGTTTAGAGAAAAAATAATCATATCCTTCCTGGCTCTCAGCATCAGTCACCATGGATGCATATAATGTTTCATAATATCGCTTAAATACATTATTTATATCTTTTTATGAGGTTACCGAAGAATTACCTTGTTTAATAGCAGGAATACTGTTTGAGGAAGACTCCTTTTCGTCACTGGCAACAAGTGAAGAGGTAAATGTGTTACACAACAACATTTAAGAATGACGAAAGTTTTGCAAAAAATTGTTACAAATCAGTAAATGCATTTTGTCCTAATGGGCTTCTGTAGAAGGAAACATGGCATCTAACATGGCGTCGCCCAGAGACTTAGAGCCGCTCTCGTGTATTTTGGACCTGATTTTTATGGTCATATGTTACAAAGTTGCCAATATTTTTCAACAACTGGGCATGATTTCATTCATTTTCAACAACAATTTGATGGATATTTTCAGAAATTTATGATAAAAACTACACATTGTCTCTTTAATTAATGAACCAAAGAGCAACACTGGGTTGTTTGATATTTTTCAGGAAGTGCCAAAGTGGTTAGTCAGCACTGGCTGATGTATTGGACATTATAAATTATATTTTTGTACTGCACTTTAAAGTTTTGGTGTTTTTTTAATAGTAAAGCATAAAAGTTGTTTGTTTTAAAAGGTCATATACAGTACATCTTTAAATGTAGCAATTTAATGAGGAAAAAGAAAAACTGTGTGTGTGTGTGGGGGGGGGGGGGACACTCATCTATTGGTTTAGAGTTAAAAAAATAATCATCCTAAATATTTTACACCAACACTTAGATCTCATTAATCCAGAATATCTGAATGATAATAGAAAGTTTGTCACAGAGCAGCGAAGAAGAGCAGAGGTCTCCTGCTCCTCTCTGTGGAATCAAATCTAGTGTTTTTGAGTGTTGTCAGAGTAAAAGCCACCATGTTCTCACTGGTCTGGACATCTTTCACAGGAACAACCTTCAGGCACAAATTATTCATGTTTGTCTCTTTCAGGGTATAGAAAGGGGGTAAACAGAGTGCACACTGCACCACCGAGATGCTCAACCCATGAGTGCTGATGTGAGTCACTTATATAATCCCATTTGTAGACTCAGAAATAACTCAACTCTGGCCTGTCGCCATACGTGAAGGAAAAAGGAGCCTCATGAGTAACATGGCTGGAAAAAGTAATTACTGTTTGTTTATTATATCAGATAAAACTGGTAAAAATAAGAAAATAAGGGTTCCAAACACCGGAACAAGGAAATTGTGTTTTAATGTGAAGAAGAACGACGCTCCTCCAGTGTGACCTTATTCCTCAAACAACCTGTCAGGAGTTTCCTAAAGTAGGTTACTGGGTGTCATGTGCTCAGCAATGTGCTCAAGGTTTTAAAAAGAAAGGCTGGAGCAGAACCACAGTCAAGAACATTTACCATCTGAAACATGAACACTGAGCTCAGGGCCGACCTGGGGACTCTGCAGATCCAATATTTCTTTTCAGGCTGGAAATAAAACTGCTCCCTGCTCTGGTACCTTTGGCCTTTTTTGAGCAGAAACACAAAACATGAATGAAGAACAATTCACCACAGCATAAACCTGAAACCCTCGAGCATCAGAAAGCATTGTTACATGAGAGGTGACACAAATTCAAGAGACAAGGTAACAGGGTCAGGCCCACGGCTGTGTTCTGATAGCGTAAACACTTCAGCGGAGGTGTGACAGCGACTCAGGAGGTAGAACGGGTTGTCCAGTAGTCTGGGGTGGATCATTCCAAGGCATTCATACTTGGATAAAGCAAAAGGCATCAACATCATGTTCTTACAAGACTTCACGTTGTTGTCCACAAACATGATGTTTAGAGATGAGAGCCTGGTTTTACACTGAAAATGTGAAACTATTTGTTAAAAAATGCAAATAAATCTGAACTATTTAGAACTGTTGGTAAAACAAAAACTGTGAACAACTGAAAGTATGGAGCTCTGATTGTAAATCAATATGTTTTTTAAATTTAGCCACATTTAGATCCAGATCTTTTATTTAGACCAATATTTGGAATCAAATCTAAACAAATCAAAAAAGTATATTTAAATGAGGAAATCTTCACCTACATATTTTGATGGTAGGATTTTGTGGTATTTTTTATCGTATTTAGGTCTTTATGTTTCTGTCTGGCTTGTTTCTGCGTGTTGATAAATGATCCTCCATCAAAGAGACTCAGGGACGATGGGGGATCGGTCCAGCTGTTATTTTGGTATACTATAATTCTGATTTACAGAGAGACCCTAGATGTTTTGAACTTGATGAATGAACGAACGAACGAACGAACGAGCGAACGAATGAATGAATGAGTGAATGAATGAATTTTATTCTAAACATTTAATCTAAAATTTTAAAATTTCACTGTTTATTTTGACTTGGATGGTTTTAGTGGTTTATGGGGAAATTGTGAAAGGTAACTTTGAAAACCTTGACTAAATGTTTTTGGAGTTTTTACTTTTTCCAGTCAGACACTCATATAAGTTCAATGCAAACAGTTGAAGTTCTGTGATATTTGGGGTTGATTTTAAGCCTTTCCTGTTGGAGGAGCTCAGTCTGTGCGTTTATTTGGGTATCTGAGTCAGCTTGTCCTCATCATGTCTCTCCTCGGTGTCCATCACCTGTTCCATTGTGGCTCCTTTGTGATAACACACCGTGACCGTGGTGTTCCCGCTGTCCTGGCTTCCCCTGGTGGACAGGCCCAGGGTGGCCTTCAGGGCGCTGTCCCGCCGCTGGATCGCGACCTCGTTGCTCGCCATCATGGTCTCCACCGCTGCGCTCACCGCGGACAGGAACCCCCGACCCCTGCAGCGCAGCAGGCGCAGGAAGGCGTCCCTGAAGTCCGCGTTGAAGGCGTAAATAACTGGGTTAAGAGATGAGTTACTCCAACCAATCCACACAAACACGTCAAAGGTTTTTTCGCTGACGCAGTAGGGGCCACGCTGGGCCCCCGGGGCCCCTGGTCCGGTACAAAAGGGCAGAGCGCAGTTCAGGATGAAGAACGGCAGCCAGCAGCAGACAAACACGCCCATGATGATGCTCAGAGTTTTCAGCACTTTGGTCTCTTTTCTGATGGACACTTTGAGTTCCCGGTGTGACCGGTCGGGACACTGGGAGTCCGGATGGACACTGATGTGAGACTGATAGCTGCTGGCACCGATTTCTGAGCACATGTGCGGAAAAAGCTCAGGCATGTGGGATCGGCAGCTTTGCGCGTGCTCCGCCGCTCGCTCTAGGGAGGATATGACCCGAATCTGCATCTGGGCGATCCGGTAGATGCGGGTGTAGGTAACAATCATGATGATGACGGGAATGTAAAAGCTGATCAGGGAAGAGGAGATTGCGTAAGTGCGGCTCAGGCTTGAGTCGCAGCTCCCGTCACTACTCTCATCACGTGGAGCCAAACGCTGCACATCGGTGTCACTGATCTCCGCGCGGTGCCAGTCCAGCTGCACGGGAACGAAGGAGATTACAACGGACACGGTCCACGTCACCCCGATCATCACAAAAGCAACCTTCGTGTTCATGCTCCTCTCATAGCAGAATGGGCTGGAGATGGCCCAGTACCGGTCCACGCTGATCAAACACAGGTTCAGGATGGAAGCAGTAGAGCACATGATGTCACAGGCCAGCCAGGTCTTACAGAATACCCCAAACGGCCAGAAACCGGCCACCTCAGCCACGGCTTTCCACGGCATCACCAACACAGCGACCAGAAGGTCCGATAACGCAAGAGACACGACGAAGATGTTGGTAACTTTGGCACGCAGGTGGCGGTAGCGATAAACGGCGGCGCACACCGTCAGGTTCCCTAAAATCGTCCAGATAATGAGCAGTGCCAGGACGCATCCCGTTAGAGCTCGGTGCGCAGGTGGCTCTCCCCGGCTGCGCGCTGCGACCAGCGCCGGACCGGTCGTGTTATTCATCTTCCGACTGTGCGCACGAGCGCACTTGAAGTGAGTGGACATAAATCCTATCAGATAAAAACTCTCATCTTCCCCTCACAGAGGAGGGAGCGCATCCTGCGCAGATCGGTCTCATCTGTGTGCGCGCTGCAGATTTACATCTGTATGGAAAATGCTGGTCGCAGTTCCAAGACGCACCGGGCTCAGGAAAGTTGGTCACATGAGCAATCCCACATCTCGTCTACTCACATCAGTCCGTTTATGATCCCCAGTTTGACACATTTCACTTGACCAGGTCGGATTAAAACTGGGATTGAATAATTTCTGAGTATCTTTAGTTATTTTCCACTTCCTCAACAAAATCCCATGACCTGTTTACATTTTGGTTCTGGCAAACCTTCCTGACAGGAGCAGCTCTTTAGGGTGGACCGGTGTGTTTGTCGTCACAGAGGAGTTTATTAAAACTGTGTTATGAAGGTTTTGTTCAGTTTGTTGGCCAATTCACAAGAAAGCACAATACATGTTAGAGCAGGTCCAGATTTCAAATAAATGGATGCAGTCAGTCCATCCCGCTGTGATATGATCCGATTCACAGCAGACTGAACTGAATCCTCCTTTCTGAGTAAACAGGGTTAATGGGCCACGGTGGGAAGGAAAACTCCTGTTGAAGAGGAAAAAAAGAGAAATGCCACAGCTGAGAAAAAACACTGAGAAAAGGTAACGAATAACGTCTAAATGTCAGGAAAATGTTACAAAGTTCATGGGTTAGGGTTAGAAACAGAAAAGGAGAAAATAATGTTTCCATTAAAAATGTGAGCTCAGTTTTAAGAGCAACAGGGATAGAAACACCTGTGTTGGGACGTGTTTATGTACAACGATGTAACTAATTGTTTTAGGTAACGGAGCGATCTAATTAATTACTTTTCTCATTGTTGCAACGCCATTACCCTTAAGCCTGGGGCACACAGAAGACACATGCGCCATGTCACGCCTGTGCCGTCATTTTAAAAAGAAGCCGTCATATGTACTGAGAGTGGCTACGTGGAGCGCAACGCCACATCCCAGAAGCGCCGGTCTGCGCCGAGGCGCTGAAGCCAGTTCTATTTCAAGCGTCGCGGCACGTCTGCTTTCAACAATGTGGAGTACTTTTCAACAGACATTACAACACGGCACGACTTTACGGCACAAACCCAACAACCACAACATGGACGAGGAGCATTTTATTGTTGATCTTAAAATATACTAAAAAATGCATACCTATCCATTTTTAATGAAGTAGAGTCTCACAAAACAAGTCTGATCATATAAACAAAAGAGTCGCTTTCCGTTTCCTGTTCTCAAGTCCTGCGTGATGTGACTATCTCGTGACTTTCCATGAACAGTTCAGTCCATGCGACCCCAAAACCGTGGTGCTTCCATGGCGCAGCGCATCTATCTTCTGTGTGCCCCAGGCTAGTGGCGCATTACTTCGTTACTATAATGAAACGCAGCGACTGTTAGGCTGTCTGACAGCCACACATGTGGCATGAAATGGCTCTTGAGCCGACCAGAGCCAGTTTACAAACGGCAAAAATGAACACACGGTGCCGAACACATCATGTGTTTGATTGCAGATCAGAAATGAGTGATCGTATAAAGCAGGAAGCAGGGAGGAGGTTGTCACACAATGCCTGTGACAGTTCTTACATTAACATGATGGATATGTAAATATTGGTGGGGACAAATTTGTAAAAGATGAGAAAAGACAATTAAACAGCTCTTCAGAAAGGGGAGGAGCTGAGTGAAAACAGTACAGGCAAGACATGATTATCCATTACTTATTTCTGTTTTTTTACACAACTTAGTAAAAAAATTGTTTTTTCAATTCAATTCAATTCAATTCAATTTTATACTCATACTTCACTTTATTTCTTGAGGTTAGCTATTAGTTCAATTCAGTTCAATTCAAGTTTATTTATATAGTGCCAAATCACAACAAGAGTCATCTCAAGGCACTTCACCTAATAAAAATTCCAATTCAGGTCAGTTCATTACGCCAATCAGAAAAAACGTTTCCTATATAAGGAACCCAGCAAATTGCATCAAGTCACTGACTAGTGTCAGTGACTATACAGCAATCCTCATACCAAGCAAGCATAAAGCAACAGTGGAGAGGAAAACTCCCTTTTAACAGGAAGAAACCTCCAGAGAATCCTGTCTCAGTATAAGCAGCCATCCTCCACGACTCACTGGGGATGGAGAAGACAGAGCAGACACACACATACACACACACACACACACACACACACACACACACACACACACACACACACACACACACACACACGGACAAGTAATGTGTCTACAGTTATATTGTGATGTCTTAGTAAATATTCTATTTGGTGAAAGATAAACTTTATTGTATTTATCCTAGTGGATCTATAATTAAACTGATAAACTAGTAGTTTTTAACCTGACATGTTTCTGTCACGTTAAGGGGATGGTTAGCATAGCATAGCATAGTTTATTTATATAGCACATTTAAAATGCAGCATGGGAGCTGCCCAAAGTGCTGCACAGGCTAAAACAAAACACACCCATTACAAGGAGCTAAAACAGAGGATAAAAATCTCAATTAAAAGCAGAGAAAACATGAATACTAAGAACACATTAAAACAATGACACAGTAAAACACTAAAACGAGTCACTGTCTAAAAGCCAAAGTGTAAAAGTGGGTCTTTAAACGAGATTTAAAAACCGCCAGAGATGGAGCCTGCCGAACTCCAATGGGCAATGAGTTCCATAGCTTTGGGGCAGCATGGACAAATGCTCGTTCACCCCGTGATTTGAGTCTCATCCGCGGCGTGTGCAGCAGCAAAAGGTCAGCCGACCTCAACGAGCGGGTGGGCACATATGGAGTGAGAAGGGCAGAGAGGTAGGAAGGTGCCAGGTCATTGAGTGCTTTAAAAACAAAAGTCAGTAACTTAAACTGCACTCTGAAAAAGACAGGGAGCCAGTGAAGATGTTGCAGGACAGGGGTAATGTGGCCACGTCGGTGTGTACCCGTCAAGAACCTGGCAGCAGCGTTCTGAACAACCTGCAGCCGATTCAGGGCAGAGACCGGAACACCAACGAGGAGGGTGTTTGTGTGGTCCAGGCGAGAGGTAATGAATGCATGAATGACTGACTCCAAATGCCTCCGTTTCAGGATTCGTCTGAGGTGAGTAAGGCGGCGAAGCTGATAAAAACAAGACCTCACTACAGAGTTTATCTGTGGGGCCATTGTGAGTCCAGCATCCAGCTTGACCCCGAGACTCGTCACACACTGTTTGGGGTTTAGGGTTAAAAGGTCACAAACAGGGTGAGAGCCATGGTGGTTGCGGGGGTCAAAAACAATAAACTCAGACTTCTTTTCATTCAGTTTTAAGAAGTTGGATGCCAGCCAGCCCTTCACGTCATCCATACATGCAGCCAATTTCGAGCCCACATTTTTCTCGTCCATTTCCACGTATAGCTGACAGTCATCTGCGTAGATGTGGTAGCTCAGGCCATGCTGATTCAGGATATTGCCCAGAGGCAGAAGGTAGATTGAAAACAGCAATGGCCCAAGAACGGAACCTTGCGGCACCCCCCAAGGCAGTGGAAGACTGGAGGATGCACAGTCACCAATCTGTACAGAGATGGTACGGTTTGATAGGTAGGAGCGGAACCATTTAAGCGCCACCCCCGTCACCCCAGCCCAAGACCCAAGCCGATCCAATAAAATATAGTGATCGACCGTATCAAAAGCCGCTGAAAGGTCCAAAAATGCAGATACCCAGGATGACTCGAGGCAGGAGTTGATGTAAAGAATAAATCCTTTTATTTGTAGGATGATGTTATGGTCTGCATCTGCCCCTTCCTTCATGTACCTCCTGGTGTTTCTCCATCCTCTCTAGGTGCTCCTTTTGTGTCTTCTAGTGCCCTCATGTGTCATGTCTGCGTCTTCCTCATGTGTCTCCTGGTGTTCCCCATTTGCCCTTTAGGTTTCCCCCCTCAGACATCCCTTTCCCAGGTCCTGTGCTCTCTTGGCCCCCTCTTAGCCACGCCCCTCGTCTCTCGTCTCTCGTCTCGTCTCGTCTTCCTCCGCTTATCCGGGTCCGGGTCGCGGGGGCAGCATCCCAACTAGGGAGCTCCAGGCCGTCCTCTCCCCGGCCTTGTCCACCAGCTCCTCCGGCAGGACCCCAAGGCGTTCCCGGACCAGACTGGAGATGTAACCTCTCCAAAGTGTCCTGGGTCGACCCGGGGGCCTTCTGCCGGCAGGACATGCCCGAAACACCTCCCCGGGGAGGCGTCCAGGAGGCATCCACGCCCCTGTTGTTTCTTTCTATAGTGTTTTCCTTTGGTGTCAGCTTCCCCTTAGTATATTAGTCATGGTTCATGCCTTCTGGTCTTTTGTTTTTCTCTTAGGTCATTTTCCTTTGTTACAGCCTTTCAGTATTTAATGTGTTTTTCCCACCAGTGTTTTCTTCCTCCTCCCTGATTTAGTAATTGTATTCACCTGGTCCCTCTCCCCACACACCTGCAATTATCTCCCTCTCATCTTCCCAGTCTATTTAAGCCCTGTCTTGTCTCTGTGTTGTTGTCGGTCCATTGTATGTTTGTCAGCGTTGTTTTGTGCTCTAGTTGAGCTTATGTCTCCGGGTTTTGGTGCTCTCAGTGAGCTTTTGTTTTTGTTACCAGGGTTTTTGGATTTTTGGACTTTTGGCTCGCTGCCTTTGGATTTATTTTTGTTCGTCCTGCAAAATAGGTAATCTGTCGTCTGGGTAATCTGCACTTTGGGTCCTAACCTTCCCCTCAACGTGACAGATGACAACAAAAATAAATCCAAAAGGCTGCGAGCCAAAAATCCAAAAGTCCTGGCGCACAGGACACCGAAAGCTCACTTAGAGCACAAAGTCTGGGGACGAGACAAAAAGGCTCACACAGAGAACTAGAAAACACTGACATACAAAACAACAATGGACCGACAAGACACTGAGACAAGACAGGGCTTAAATACACTGGGGCATAATGGGAGGATGATGAGCTGCAGGTGTGAGGGGAGAGGACCAGGTGAAAGTGATAACTAATCAGGGAGGAGGAGCAGGAGAGGACACCAGACCTAACTGGGAAAGGACACACACACACACACACACACACACACACACACACACACACACACCTAGCTGGAGGAGGACATAAACACACACACACACACCTAGCTGGAGGAGGACATAAACACACACACACACACACACACACACCTAGCTGGAGGAGGACATAAACACACACACACACACACACACACACACACACACACACACACACACACACACACACACACACACCTAGCTGGAGGAGGACATAAACACACACACACACACACACACACACACACACACACACACACACACACACACACACACACACACACACACACACACACACACACCTAGCTGGAGGAGGACATAAACACACACACACACACACACACACACACACACACAAAACTGGAATAATAGACCTATGGAAATTATGGTGGGGAGACTGAAGGAACACAGGACCTGAGAGGCAATATCTGGAGGGCTGAAGACCAGGAAACACAAGAGGAACACAAAGAGACACAGACACAGACCATGACCGTTTCTGCTAATGACTCTAGCCATCATCAGCATTCGCCAGTGTTGGTGGTATCACTTCCGTTTACCCGTGGGCAGAAGAGGACGATGTCCTACTCTACTGCCCGCGTCCTCCTTGCTGATGGCACTGTCCCATGCGTGATTCATAGGAGAAACCAGACGCCAACCTAGCACACAAAACGTAGAACATCAAAGACAATGTGAGAAGGAAACAAGCCGAAGACACACAAGAGCAGCAAAACAAGAAGGAGAAAACCCAATAAAGAAATCAGGAACAGAGCACTGCACAAGAGATAATCATGCTATGGACTGGGACAGCACATGGATCATAAACACAGAACAACAAAAATACAAAAGATGGATCAAGGAAACCATGGAACTAAGGAGACATGGACACAAAACCATGAACAGAGACGATGGAGTATTCACGTTGGATCACGCATGGGACAGTGTCATCAGCAACAAGGACGTGGGCAGTAGAGGGCAACGCCTTCATCTGCCTGCAGATAAACGGAAGTGACTCCACCAACATCAGCAAACTCTGATGACGGCTAGAGTCATTGACCTAACATAAGGTAAAAAACTATTTATTTACTATGCTGTATACAAAAGAAGTTATGGGTTCCTTATATAGGAAAAATTATTTCTGATTGGCTTAATGAACTGTGAATTGGAACGTTTATTATGTGAAGTGCCTTGAGACGACTCTTGTCGTGATTTGGCGCTATATAAATAAACTTGAATTGAATTGAATTGAATTAAAGTTACACACAGAACAAATGTATAAAAGAGTACCAAGACTGCGGCAAGCCGTTTTAACATGTAATCAACAATCGGGCCTCTCTGTAATATCCTATTTTATTTATTAATATTTCAATTTATCCTATTACTAATTGAAATCTTATTAGTCCAATTGCAAATGAAAACATCAACAGCTGTGATGTTACTATAGAAATCATAATTACGGATTGTTACGGCCACCAGGTTGCGCCATAACGACTCCAGCCATTCACTCCAGTCAGCCAGTTTCATGCCTCCTGACTCCAGTCCCACCAGCTGCTCTCAACCATTCAATCAGCTTGAGAGCTCAAAAGAGGAGGCAGCCTTAAGATCAGGGGAGGAAGTGGGTGAAATGCCGCTGTCAGCTATTGGCTGACAAGTCATGAGTACCACTCTCTATTATTACATGTGTAGCGCAAACCAAATGCTGCACAGTTTGTAGTAGATTAATGCATCAAATAGTCTGAAAATTAGCAGCATCTCATGGGAAACTGTTGTGGCCGGCTTGAGTGAGAACAATTGTGATTGGTGGAGCACTCAAGCAAAGTGTGTGTCTGGCCCACAGAACATCTGTATGTCTCCTGTGCAAATAAATCACCCATCGATGTTTTCTGGAATGACGAATATTGCTTGGAAAAATGAAAAATACTCTTTATATTTAAACTAGAACCAGTGTAAAAAAAAACATGGTAACGTTTATTCAACACACACACACACACACACACACACACACATACATATATATATATATATATACCCTGATTTTTTTCAGTCACTTCATAATTACTCTTAGTTTGTTTTTTCTAATCTGCCAAGTTTTCATGAAATCACTGTCACAGTCCTGACCCCCAACACGAGTGGAGCAGATCTATTTAAAGACACAAAATCCTCAAACACATCCTGAGATGCAGTAGATAAAAACAGGCTTTTTCATTCAGAACACGACCAGATGGCACAGCTGAGGTCACCGCTTCGGTAAGGAACACAGAAACAGCAATAAAGCACCACACACACTTTATTAATGACAACAGGGTTTGGTCTGAATACAGATTTAAATGATGGAGACAGAAACAGCAGCTCGGGGAGGAGGGCAGGGAGCTGATAATCAGATTATCTCCCTCATTTTCCAAGAGTTTGTGCATTTGCTGATTTAGAACACACATGCGCACACACACGCGCGCACACACACACACACACACACACACACACACACACACACACACACAGGATTTATATCCATTTGTTGGAATGAATCTGCTTTCAGAAGTGTTAATTTCCTCTCTTCTCTTGTTGGTTGAATCAGAGGCTGAAAATGTAAAAGTCACATCATAAAATGATTTAACATCAGTCATCACAGGAAATGACATAATTTAAACAAGATGGAGTTGTTACTGTATACAGCATGGAGATCCAACTTTCTCCAGAGCAGCATTCAGTCCCAGTAGTCCCATCTCCTGCACATATCCAGTCACGCTGGCCATGGTGAGGTGTTTCTCCACAGACCTCTCCTTGATCATCTCAGCACACTTCTTGCCACAGAGTCTTTTCAGTGAGGAGACGTCCTGGTCCCAGTCTCCATTCTCCTTCAGCAGGTTGTCTTCCACCAGCTTCTTCAGTCTTTCCTCGCACCCATTTTGCTGCTCAAGCTTGATTGTTATGAGTTTTAACTCCCGCTTGAAGGCCTCAGTTCTCCTTTTCTCAGCTCGAAGGTGTTCCAGCTGTATGTCCATTTCTCTCTGCTTCTCCTGCCTCTCATGCCTGAGGATGTCCTCCATTTGCCTTGTTCTCTCCTCCTCCCTCCTGCTTTGCTCCTTTAGCTCAATGCAGAGTTTGTCCAACTCATGCTGCAGAGCATCTCTCTCCATCTCTTCTCTCTGCCTGATGGCCTGCTCCATCTGGATTTGCTGAAGTTCTCTTTCCTTTTCTTTCCTCTCATTCTCCTCTTTTTCTCTCTGGATCTTTTCTTCCAACGACCGCCTCATGTTCTCCTCCCGCTTGACCTGCTCCTCCAACAATTGAGTCATTTTGTCCAGCCTCTCCTGAACATCTAGTCTTTTTCTCTTCTCCATCTCTATCAACACTGCTACTTCTTGTGACTTCTTCTCCTCCACCTCTACTCTTAAGGCTTCCTCCCATTCTTTAGCTAGCTTCTCCTCTTTCTCCTTCTCCAGATCCTGCTTAATCTTCAGCTCCTCCTGCTCTATCTTGGTTTGCTTCTGAATCATCTCTAGCTCCTTTTCATACCACTCTTTCAAAGCTTGGTTTTTCTTACGCTCCTCTTCCTTCTCAGTTTCAAGCTGAAGATCTAGTTCTTCTTCAGCTCTTTGGAGCATCTTGCTGTTGAAGCATCGTTCTCCATTCTTCTGCATCATGCCTTCCACCAGGGTGAGCAGCTCAGCTACTTGATCCCTGTTTTTAAAGTTCTGGTTGTTGAAGACACAGTACCTGCCTCCACATCTGGCCACTAGCTCAGCCAGGTCCCGGCACTGGTCAATCAGACAATGCTTCACTGATACCCCCTCTTCAAGACGGTCTCCATGTGTGAAAACCACCACAGAGAAACTCAAAGCATCTGAACCCATCGCCTCTTTTATGTGCCGCATTGCCTCTCTCTCAACCTGGGAGAACCTCCCAATTTGAACAACGATCAGAAAAGCATGTGGTCCTGGGAAAAGGAGGCTAACGCTCCTCCTCAGCTCTCTCCTCACCTCCTGTGGAGTTTGATGAGTGTCCAGGACCCCAGGAGTGTCTAGCAACAGCAGCTGTCGCCCACGAAACTCTCCACTGGCTCTGTGAGAACGCTGGCTGACTGAGGCACAGCTGACCTTCAAGTCCAAGACCTTACGGCCAAGGATGAAGTTGGCTGTGGAGCTTTTACCGCTGCCCGTCCTTCCTAGTAAAACCATCCGGATGATGGTGGAGGCAGGTGGGGACTTTGTCACTGAGAAGATGGAATAAGGGGTTAAAAAGAAAGAAAAATGAGGCAGAAAAGATAAAGATAGATCTTACTTGTGTAGCTGGACTGCTTGGTGTTAGACGACATGTCGTTTCTGCTCGTGCTCTCCTTCAGAATGAGAAAAACCACCTCGTATAGATGCTGTCATTTGACTCAATGACGTGTGACACCCCCGATGAGCTTTGACCTTTAACATTGAGTTTTTATTATCTTCCAGAAGAACATATGGTCCAATAGTCTGTCCTTACAGCAGCAGCAGCAGCTGTCAGCCCAGAAAAGTCCTGATCGATTGTTAGGTGGAGTTTAAGTTGGGATGATTGAGATCAAAGTCCACCAGGCTGCTGGTGATTGGATAGTTTCAGTTCATCAGTTATCTTAAAGAAAACACATGATCAACAATCGTTACCATCTCTGATGAGGTCAGAAATGCTAGATGAACACATTAACATGCTAACATGCTAGATAATCTGCAATGATCAGACAGGAATTAGAATAAAAATAAAATAAAGTTGGTTCAACATCTCCAAAACAAATCAAACATTCACACACGTTCTTGATTTATGTAAACGTGACATTTTTGACCTTCAGTTTTCCTTAGGAAAGTTTGAAATAAGAAGTATCTTACCTGTGGTAGATAGCTTTTTGAACAGCCTCAGTGAAGAGTAATTGAGATGAGTCCCTACCATTTTGATAAGTTAATGGCTGGTAAAGACAGGCCACGATTAAAGAGTGAGTAACACCTAAATCAACTTTTGTTTTGCTGATAATCTGTATAGATGAGTGTCCATTGGAGCATCTTGTTCAAAAATTCAACATTCAGACAAACCCCATAATTATGTCTCCCTCTTCAGGTTATATCTCTGCTCTGCATTGGTTTTGAATGAGCCACAGCTGATGGCTAAAGATGTGCAGAGTGACGTTGTCTGTACAGTACTACGTGGCTGATAGTGTGGGCCACGCCGATGTTCACTCCAGTTTTAGCTCTTTGCTTCACCTCCAAATGTATTACTCTGATGCCAACAAAAGGCAAACTTCTTTTTATTTTTCTTGTGCTTTTTGTTGACAATCAGCAAACAGAAAAAGCTAACAGCACAGAAAATAGCTAACAGGTATAAGAGCGCCCCCTAGGGCTCCTACCCCCACCACAAAACTGTTACGTGTAGTTTCAGGCCAGCAGAGGGCTGCAGAGTGGGATCAAATATGAAACTGGTCACTGAGATCAATGTTACTGCTCTAGCTTAAAGTTAGAAAAATTATTTAATGTTACTTAAAAAAAACATCTTCTTCCCTTTCTTCAGGTGATCAAGGTGGAGAGAAAATCCTCCAGCCTGCTGCAATTCCTCTGTTTGCTCGTTCTACTGAATGGTGAGTCTGTGCGTATATGCTCGTGTGTACACGCTTGTTAACAACTCATTTTTCCAACTGAGAAACTCTGGGTGCTGTCAATCACTGCCTCAGTGTCGCTATCTCAGTCCGCCAGGCGACTCCTCCTTTAGGTGCATTTTTATAACAGGCAGTATGGGTGAAGACTTACCCTCATGCATGTGTCATGTACAGGTGAGCTAGTGACGCAATCACAGAAAGTTGAACATTTTCAACTTTTCATTGCTGTCGCTCGGACAAGGACCAGTCGGCAGATGTTTTATTGACTGACCAATGAGCAGACAGGATGCTTCTCAGCACATCTCCAGGCAAAGAAGGAGGAGAAGTTAATACTTGCCATGTCGGACAACATTTCTACAAAAGAACATAGAGGTCTTCACAAAAATGCAGCTGCATGAGCATTTGTCAGTAAGTTGGTTTTTGGTGTGGTATCATATTCACCATTTCTTTTTCTGTTTGCAATATGAGATGGACCCATTCACATATTTTTCTTTTTTATATAGTAAAGCCAGAAGTAAGACTTCACTAAACTCTAGCAAAACCTTGTGAGACTTCATATCTACCGCTTTTTCAACTCTGAACTGCTTTAATAACCCAACCTTTACTCCAATCTGACGGCCAATCAAAACAACGGAAGACACTATTTGTTCTGGAACAGAGGGTGTTGCATGTCGCCTCTCGTGTGTCAGCAATCAAAGCAATAGCTAAACGTGTCACTGATTGCAGTTGTTTGTCGCCTCCTGTGTGTCGAGCCCATTAGTGTGAAATGGCAGTAATTTAATGTTTTATTGTTTTACTCTGTTGTTGTACAGCACCTTGGTGGAACGCGCATGACTGTAAGGTGCTTTTTAAATAAAGGCTGAGTTGAGTTGAATAATTCACTTTGTAGCAGGTTGTTTTCAGACTTGCTGTTAGCCAATCAGTTCAGAACTAATCTCTGTTTTTCTAAACAGAGGTTGTTCAAAGAGCTACCTAGATAAGATATAACTTGTTCCTTTTCATAGAAACCTACGTCTGAAAAGCCGATGTGTGATTAGATTCAACATTTTCTGGGGTTTGTTCACAAACTCCACTAGATGGAGGCAATGATTACTTCCTCTGATCAGGAAACTTGGTCCTGGTGATCAAACCCTGTAGGTCTGTTCAGTTGGTGCAGAACCAGAAGACGGTTGATCTTTCACTATTTTAAGTGATCACCCAAGAGGACAACTATTACAGAGAAAATAATGAACTGCAGCTAGTCTTCTGAGTGACTCTGCTGACACTGAAGAACTGAGTCACTACGTTTAGTTTTGTTTCACCAAACCTTGCCGTCATTATTTGGGTTATTATTTAATCTCAAAATGTCCCTTTCTTAACAACCTGCTTATTGCTGAAGTTCAAAGTATGAAAAAGTCATTTATTTATAGCTGCCCTTTTTAAAATTAAAACTGCAGTCGGTCCAACAAATGTTGAAGATTACACATTTAAATTTTGTAAAACCTGTTTCATCTATTTTCCTTTTTATGTAATTGTTTTTTTCTACTATCAATACCAAAGACTAGTGATCTTCACAAACTAAAAACTTTGGCATCAACAGAAACACTTTTAACCCTCAATAAATGAACCTATAAAAATGTCAGTGTGTTGTTAATTACTCAGTAACTGAAGCATGTCTGCCTTCGAGAGTTTGCTGAAATTTAAAAAAAAATGTAAACCAGGTTGATGCTGTTGTCTGGACTCTACAGCCTCAAAGCAGCATTAGAAAAGAATGTCCTTAGAAAAACACACGATCTTCTATGATTTTGAAGACCAACTTTGCTGAAAAATAATTTTTTTATGATTATTTCTTATTATTATCAGTCACTCTGAATTTTTCATGCAGGCTGAACATGAAAATAGTCTCCTACACCTATCTCCTGCATTAACTTCTGATAGAAAATAGATGATGAAACTCCAGGATTAGAAAACCCTGACTGTCACGGTCTGCCTCTATCAGCAGGTGAGGTAACCTGGCAGTCAGCTGTTTGTGTTGCAGGTGGGCATGGCACGAGCTCCAGCTGATCCTGATTCCACTAATCAGAGGGCCAGGGGATTTAAGGAGGGGTGTGACACAACTCCAGCGCCGGTTGATACTCTCACCAGGTATCGCGCCTCGCATCCTCTAACCACGCCTGGAGTTGTTTTCCTCGTGCCGTCGCTCAGGATCCTCTGGCCTCCACTCTCCATCGCTCTGCCTGCCTGCCATCCTACACCCTGGACTCAAACAACCTTCTCCTGTCCACCTCCTCTACAACCATCGGACCTGCCGCCTCTCCTCCACTGAACTTCACCCAGTCCACCGCTGCTAAGAACTGGTTTAAGACCGTAAGAACAATTCAATCACCAAACTTATTATTCTCTTGGTTCTCTGGTTCCACCTCATATTCATGATTGTTTATTCTTTCGTTTTAAATTTCCGGTCCATTCCTGTTCCTACTTTTCTGGAGCAGCGCCCTTACTTTTTCCTTAGCTTCATTTAATAAAACATTTTACTCTTTTTACTTACCTGGTTTAGACGTGTGGTTCTTCATGTCCTGGGTTAAGCACCTTGCCCACAGCATGACAGAATCAACTGGCCAAACGAATACATCCTCTGAAGAACCACTTCCTGTCGCCATAGCCAATACCTTGTCCCAGCATGAAAGTTCCATCTGGTCAGTACTCGAACAATTATCCGCCACTAATCAACGTCTTTTCCAGCTCGACACCGCCTTACGCCAAATGAATGTAAGACTCACTTCTATGCTGCCTCCTCCCTCTACTTCCGTAGCTTCATCTCCACCGCCGCTTCCGGTTCAGCAGCATGGGGTTAGTTTCCAGGTCACCGAGTCACCACAGCCTGATACGTTCTCCAGCGAGCCAGGTAAATGCAGCTGTTTCCTACTACTCTGCGAGTTAGCCTTTGAAGGGCCACTAGACACCTTCATAAATGATTCGGTTAAAATCTCGTACATAGTCGGTTTACTCCGAGGTAGGGCTCTGCAACGGGTCGAGGCTAAGAACCGGCAGGCTAGCTTCCTGCGAGGTCCGCTCTTGGCTTTTCTAGCTGAGTTCAAACAACTTTTTGACCCGATGGAATCTCCCGCAGAAATCGCAAAGCAGATTTGGAATCTCCAGCAGGATAAACAGTCAGTCCTCGATTTCGCTGTAGAATTTCGCACTTTGGCTTCCACATCAACTTTAGACGAGGCTTCTCTAAAAGCTGCTTTCTCTCAGGCTTTGACCGATAAGATAAAAGATCAGCTCGCATTTTGCCAGGAACCCGAGAACCTCGAGTCCCTCATCAACCTCACCTCTTAACTTACGCCTTAAGGAAGGACACAAGACTTCAAAGTTCAGGCCACCTTCAACCACTCTTCACAGCAACGTCCCCATCAAACACCTCAACAGCACCTCCTTCCCTCTGGGTCAGACGAACCCATGCAAATCGGATGAGCGCAGTTAACTCCAGAGGAGAAAATGAGACGTCGTTCCCTGGGCCTTTGCCTCTATTGTGGTCAGCCTGGCCACTTAATCCATAACTGTCCTGTTCGGCCAAAAACCACAGCCCACCATTAGGACCGGGATTACTGGTGGGTGGGATTCCTAGTGCTCAGAATTCCCGGTGCAGGTTAACTTGTACTGTTTCTTTCCACCAACAAACCTTCCCTACCAAGGTGCTCGTGGACTCTGGGTGTGAAAGGAACATTCTGGACCAAGCGGTGGCACAACAACTGAACATTCCTACTACTCC